TTGTTGTTTTCACCACAAGGTTATTTATTTAATTGTTGTTTTCACCACGAGGGTATTTATTTATTTGTTGTTTTCACCATGAGGTTATTTATTTATTTGTTGTTTACACCACGAGGGTATTTATTTATTTGTTGTTTTCACCATGAGGTTATTTATTTATTTGTTGTTTTCACCATGAGGTTATTTATTTAATTGTTGTTTTTCCCACAAGGTTATTTATTTAATTGTTGTTTTCACCACTAGGTTATTTATTTAATTGTTGTTTTCACCACAAGGTTATTTATTTAATTGTTGTTTTCACCACGAGGGTATTTATTTATTTGTTGTTTTCACCATGAGGTTATTTATTTATTTGTTGTTTTCCTCCTTGAATCGCTCCTTTTTGTGGTGGAGGAGTTTGTGCGCCTGAATGATCCTAGGAGCTTTGCTGTCGGGGGGAAATTATAATTGCCCCAGGTAGAGTCTCCCAAGGCAGATTGGTTCTAGGTGACAGGCCAGACAAAGAGCGATTCAGAAGATTTTTATGGACAAAACAAAACAAGGAACTCAGTGTCCCTTGCCCGGATGTGGGTTACCGGGGCTCCACCCTGGAACCAGGTCTGGGGGAGGGGCTCCTCGGCGAGCGCCTGGTGGCCGGGTCTCTGCCCATGAGGCCCGGTCGGGCTCAGCCCGAAGGAGCTGCATGGGTTTGCCTTCCTGTGGACCCACCACCTGCAGGAAGGGCCATAAAAGTCAGGTGCATGATGCTATGGGCAGTGGCCGAAGGCGGGGACCTTTGCACTCTGACCCTGGCTTACCAAAGATGCTCTTGGGACATGGAATGTAACCTCTCTAGCAGGGAAGGAGCTTGAGCATGTGCATGAGGTTAAGAGGTACCGACTAGATATAGTTGGGCTCACCTCAATGCACAGCATGGGCTCTGGAACTGACCTCCTTGAGAGGGATTGGACCTTATTCCACTCTGGAGTTGCCCATGGTGAGAGGCGTCGAGCTGGTATGGGTCTACTTGTAGCCCCCGACTTGGTGCCAGTGTGTTTGACTTTTCCCCGGTAGATGAGAGTGTGGCTTCCCTTCGCCTTTGGGTGGGGGGACGGGCTCTGACTGTTGTTTGTGCCTACGTGCAGTTCAGAGTATCTGGCCTTCTTGAAGTCCTTGGCAGGGGTGCTGGAAGGTGTGCCAGCTGGGGACTCCTTTATTCTGCTGGGGGACTTCAGTGCCCACGTGGGTAATGACAGTGTGACCTGGAGGGGCGTGATTGGGAGGAACAGCCTCTCTGATATGAACCCGAGCGGTGTTCTGTTGTTGGACTTCTGTGCTAGTCATAGTTTGTCCATCACGAACACCATGTTCGAACATAAGGGTGTCCATGAGTGCACTTGGCACCAGGATGCCCTAGGTCGTAGATCGATGATTGACTTCATAGTCGTGTCTTCTGATTTGCGGCCATTTGTTTTGGACACTCGGGTGAAGAGAGGAGCTGAGCTGTCAACTGATCACCACCTGGTAGTGAGTTGGATCAGATGGCGGGGGAAGATGCTGGACAGACCCGGTAGACCCAAACGTGTAGTGAGGGTTTGCTGAGAACGCCTGGCAAAAGAACCTGTCAGAGAGATCTTCAACTCACCTCCGGGAGAGCTTTAACCGCATTCCAGCTGAGGTGGGGTACATTGAGTCTAATTGGGCCATGTTCCGCACCTCACTTGTTGAGGTAGCTGTCTTGAGCTGTGGCCGCAAGGTTGTCAGTACTTCTTGCAGTAGTCATCCACGAACTCGGTGGTGGACAGTGGACACCCCGGGTTAGGGAGGCTGTCAAGCTGAAGAAGGAGTCCTATCGGGCCTTGTTGGCCAGTGGGACTCTGGAGGCAGCTGAGGAGTACCGGAGGGCCAAGTGGTGTGCAACCTTGGCTGTTGCTGAGGCAAAAGCTCAAATGTGGGAGGACTTGGATAGAGACTCTCGGTAGGCTCCGAGGAGATTCTGGCAAACCATCAGGCGGCTGAAGAGGGGAAAGCAGCACTTTACTAACACTGTGTTCAGTGAAGGTTGAATGAACAGTAAAAAGTACAAAGATACAATCTGTATGACTTTTTATAACTGTTTATTGTTGTCGCTGTTGTCCATTGTTGTCATCATTCTTTGTTGAAATCAGGTCTCTCTTGTAAATGAGTCCTCGAGGCTCAATGGGATTTACCTGTATAAGTAAAGGTTGAATGAAGTGAAGGTGGGGTGCTGTTGACCTCAACCAGTGATGTCGTCGGGAGGTGGAAGGAATACTTCTCGGACCTTCTCAATCTCACCAGCACGTCTTCCATGGAGGAAGCTGAGGCGGGGGACTTTGGGGTTGATCCGTCCATAACCGTGGCTGAGGTAGCCGAGGTAGTTAAAAAGCTCAGAGGAGGCAAGGCTCCGAGAGTGGATGAGATTCACCCTGATTTCCTGAGTTAAAAATCAGGCTGCAGCATTTTGGACCAGTTGTAGACGTGCAATGGAGGACTGACTGATTCCAAACAGAAGCACATTGAAGTAATCGAGCCTGGATGTTAAGAACACATGGATCACTGTCTCAAAATTATTTTTGGACAGTATGGGCTTCAGCTTAGACAGCTGCCTCAGCTGACAAAAACAGGATTTAACAATCATGTTTACCTGACTGTTAAGTTTTAAGAAAAGGTCCATTATCACTCCCAAATTGGTGACTCTTTGTTTCTCGGGACTAGAGAGGAAAGGTCAATGCAGTGGTTCATGGACGTGCTATTGGGATGGAACAACATGACTTCAGACTTCTTCTCATTGAAACTTAAGAAGTTTAAAGCCATTCAGTCCTTGATGTCAGCCAGGCAGTCAGGAGGTTGAATGGAGCTTGTGTCTCTGTACTTCAGGCAGGGGGAAGTAAGTTTGACAGTCATCGGCGTAGAAATGAAATGGTATGTTGTGACTGCGGAAAATAGCACCCAGTGGCAGCAGGTATAAAGGAAAGAGAAGGAAATTCGCCAGAAAATACAGTATATATAATATAATATAATATAGATGTGAAGTAGTAAAAGCAGCAGTTAACGTGAGATTGGTTGAAGATAATCCTGCTTCCTGTGTGACCTCACCCCCTCAGAGTTAATGGATGTCACACAGACGGAGAGAGATCTCAGCTCAGGCTTCTATTATCGTCTCGTCTCTTGAGATGGGACGCATGTCTGCTGCCACTTCAGCAGAGCACGTGAGCGTGCCACGAGGCTTAAGTGTGAAACTGTGTGAAGGTGCAGCAAAAGAACGTGCACAGGTTGGGAACAGAGCGGAACTGGGCGCACTACATGGGGACTTTGAGCGCACAGCGGGGAGCGGGGTCGCTCTGAGCTCCACTGGAACAACCAAGAAGAGAAAGTTCAGATTTGTAGGTCAGCTGTTTGGGCTGTTGTTGGGCAGACTTCACCAGTTTCATGTTTGGCGTTGAGTTGTTGGTTTCACTCTCTTTGCTGCTTCCTTTGTCGGCTGTCACGCCACCATGGACACGTCATTACAAGCATCTCTGCTGCGGGCCGCTTGTGTTGCGTTCAAATCCTAATTGAAGTCACATTATTAGCGGGAACTGCAGGAGAGCATCTTTCCATCTGGCGCTTATCCGAGCCTGACCTGGTTTTGATGTTCTACGTTAGCATGTGGCTCCTCCGGGACTCGTCCTCTCCTCAGCCTGACAAAAAGAAGCAGCTCACCTGTTCTCACCCAGCGCCACATCCTGTCGGAGGCAACATCCGTTAATCCTGCTCCAAAATAAAACCCACAAAGGTGCATGCGCTACAGTTTTACCATTTTAGGTCACTCGGTCGTTCCTTTTCTTTCATTTTGGGAAGTGCTTCCAGGGATATTTTGTCCTACAAAAAATAATTATGTTATCTCCCTAATTCCCAATTATTATTCACAGGCTTATTAAAAAAGGCTGTGATTTTCCTCTTGTCTTCGGTGGCAGCAGAGAAGAGGCTGACAGTCGTCGGCAGCGAGGGGTCCTACACTTGGATGAACTGTGGGAGGAGAGAGCAGAGGCAGGCTGTCATGTAAGCTGTCTCCTCTGGGGCCCGCGCTCGGCTCGCGCTGCTTCCTGCCTCAGGTGAAGCCTCAGAGTCGGAGCTGCTGAGGAGACAGGCTGCTTCTCTCCTCTGCTCCCTGCAGCTGAGCGGGCACACATCCTCTCTCAAAGCGCCGCCATGGAGAAGGTAAGATGTGTTCTCGTCCTCGTTTCCTTTCTTTGTCTGAACTTCTCGTTGTGACGCAGCACAAGATGGTTTCAGTTTCTGCAGCAGCTTCTGACTGTGCACAGTGTTTCTGTGCAAAGTGCTGACTGCGTTTGCTTTCTTCCCACTTTACTACAGTAGTTGTGTCTGATGGTAGAAATGCCTCAGCTGTTGCCTGTGGACAAGGCTTTTAGGTGGATTTGGCCCAAAGTGACTCTACTTGGTAAAAGTTTCCTCTGTGGACGACAAATGTCTCAGAGACTGAATTACAAGATAAAAGGTACTCTGCTTCAGTTGGCTGCATCTTTCCTGATACAGTGAAGGCTGTTTTTTTGTTATTCTAATGAGATAAAGTGAAATGATTTCAGAGATTTATTTATTTATTTATTAACATTTATTAAACCAGTCAAATCCCACTGAGATCACAGATCTCTTTTGCAAGTGAGGCCTGGGCCTGAAGCCTAACATGCGTGTTTTAATCTGTGGGAGGAAACCAGAGTACCCGTAGAAAACCCACGCAGCACGGAGAGAACATGCAAACTACACACAGGAGGACCCCAGGTCCAGCTGGGGATTGAACCCAGGACCTTCTTGCTGTGAGGGCAACAGTGCTAACCACTGAGGCACCGTGCTGCCAACTAAGAGATTAAATGGGAATTAAAATGTTTTTCATGACAGTTTTCAAAGTCCTCATTTTTTGTCTATTGTTAAAAGTTTGAAAATTAGACCGGAGTTTACGTCTACTTCCAAAATGTTGTAACACTGAAAAACGTAAATAAATAATAAATAATGCAGTGATGTACAATTCTCATTTAAAACCTATTCTCAATGATAATCATACCAAATGCTGAAGTTTTTTGAACTCCTCCACGACAAAGCTCTTGTGATGAACCTGGTTTAACAGTGTCTTGCTGAAATATGCAAGGCCTTCCCTGAAAAATGCACAATCTGGACGGGAGCTTATTTTGGTCTAAAACCTGTGTACACTTTTTTACACCGATGGTGCCTTTCCAGGTGTGTAAGCTGCTCATGCCAGAGGCACTTATGTACCCCCATACCATCAGAGAAACACATTTGAATGATGTATTTAACGGTTTAGATGGCCTCTCTCCTCTGTAGGTTGAAAGATGTATCATCTGCGTTTTTAAAGAACAATTCCAAATTTTGGTTTGTCTGACCAGGGCGACACAGTGGCTCAGTTGGTAGAGCTGCTGCCCCTCAGTGAGAAAGTTGCATGATCGAATCCCGGCCAGGGGTCTTTCTGGGTGAAGTTTGCATGTTCTGTCCGTGCTGCGTGGGTTTTCTACAGATAATCCGGTTTCCTAGGAAACTGGACCAAAAATATGCATGTTGGTCTGACTAGTAACTCTAATTGGCTCTGTGTCCCTGGGATGGACTGGAGACCTGTCCAGGGTGTCCCCCACCTCTCACACAATGATAGCTCGATATGATCACCAGTGACCCCCGTGACCTGAAAAGGAAGAAGTGGGTAAAGATGATGGATGGATGGATGGAGGATGGATTTGTCTGACCAGAGAACAGTTTCCACTTTGCCTGAGTCCATATTTAATGAGCTCTGGTCTAAACTTTTCTTGGTGATTCTAACTTATGTCTTCTTCTTCTGGCCAAACATTTTTCCAGTGAGTTACTTCCATTGAATTCACAATTATCTTTTCCAAAAATTGTTAGTTTCATTTTTTCAGCATTTGATGCATTTGCTCTGCTCCTTTGTGAATAAAAGGTTTGCAAATCATTGCAAAAGCATTCTGTTTCTAATTTACAGTTTTTCACAATGTCCCATCGTTTTTCTGAAGCGGGGTTGTAATAATGGGTTTAGTTTATCGTCATGAGAAGTTTCAGTTCTGTTCTGCAGAAAGTCTTCAAGCGGCTCCTCGACGAGCATGTTGGACATGTAACGTCCTATTTTCTGATCATGTCATGAATATTTTTGTATTTCTTTCAGATCTGCTCAGAGTGCACAGAACACACACTTGCACAGAGTCTTTGCACTCTGTGCAACAAGTGGTTGTGTTACCAGTGCACCGATGTGCACCTGCATCAGAGAGCCCCTGCTGCTTCCCAGTACGCTGATTCATACCAGCAGCCGAGGCCCAGTTCTAACCAGTGTCCTGACCTTCACCAGAGAAGCTCCGGCACGCTACCTCCTGCTGGACAAGGCAAGAGACCTGTCGAAATCAAAAAGCCTTTGATTGTTTAAGTTTGATATAGTTTCAGCAGGAACCATTTGCTTTGCATAACGCATTGTTTGATGAGCGTTCCTGGATATCCACGTGCTTCATTATATCTATCTTTAACTCGTGGCCCAGATTCTGAAGTGCCTGGATGATTTCATTCCTGCTAATTTTAGTGTCTTGCTATTTAAAGCCCCTCAATTATGCCCGGCACACTCCTTCGTTGGTCGGCCCTGTGCAAGAACTCAAATCACAACAAGCACGTCCTTGACACGTTGATTGTGATACGGGAGCGCTGCTGTTTGTGCTCGTGTGAGAAAAGCTGCATGAGTTTGATGACAGACAGGATGTGGTCAGTCAGATCAGGCTGATGCGCCCAAGGTGATGCTTCGCTCTCTGCCACAGAGATCTGTGTTGATCTGCAGGCAGGATGGAGGTGGGGGGTGGGGGGGTTGATAAGGAGAGCTGACCAGAAGAGAGCGGCAGAGAGCAGCAGGGAGCAGCAGGGAGCAGCAGGGCGTTCTAGGCCAAAAGTTTCTCCTTCGACGTATTTGCATGTAAGACATATTTTTCCGTGTGTTTTGTATTTCTGTTTGTCTCTGAAGAAGCTGATGGTACCTCAAAGCCCCGGTGCGCTGTACTGTACATCATTTACTTGTTGTCACAGTGAAACCTCAGCTTCTGTAAAGTTCAACCCACTTCCCACAACCCTTTGAGTTTCTGTATCAAACTGCAGCTGTGGGCTTTAAAGGTGCGCGTCACAATGTCATGAAGACAGAATTAAACACGTCGTCGATGGAACAACTTCCATCTACAACGTGTTTGTTCACATGAAACGTGTGGGCTTGTAATAAATAGGTTTAGTTTATCTTCACGAGAAGGTTCATTTCTAGTGAACAAGTGCTTTATTTACATTTGCATTATGTCACAGTCTCAAACTTGTCCTAAACACAGACAAAACCAAAGGGATGTTGTTTTCAAACAGGAAGTCGGTCCCAGCAGTTCTTCCTCTGATTTGATCCTTGAATGGTGCTCCTATCGATTCCTGCAAATTCTTTGGTATCTTCGTCGACTCACATCTCTCATTTAAGTTCCATGTGGAAAACTAGTAAAGAAACTGAAAGTTAAACTGGGTTTCTTTTTCAGAAACAGATCCTGTCTAACTCTGAATGTTAGGAAACACCTTGTATCTGTGACTTTCCTTCCCTCCATCGACTACGGTGACATTATTTACATGAACGCTCCTACAAGAACCCTGCAGATGTTGGATGCTGCAGATGTTGGATGCTGTCTATCATGGTGCACTAAGATGCATAACTGGCTGTAACTACTGTACCCACCACTGCACCCAGTATTCACTGGTTAACTGGTCCCCATTAACTTCACAGACTCTCCCACTGGTAGATCTTCATCTTTAAATCACTTCTTGGTCTGCTGCCTTCATACATCTCCTCCTACATGTCTCTGTGTGAGTGCAGCTACAGCGTGCGCTCTCAGGACATTATTACCTGCAGTGTTCCCTCAGTGAGGACTGAACTAGACAAAAGGACCTTCTCCTACTCCGCTCCTGTTTCCTGGAATATCTTGTAAAAAGATCAGAAGCTCTCGACCTTTGACCTCTCTAAGTGTCTTTAAGAATCTGTTGGACTCCTGGCAGGGACCAATGCAGACATGTTCCTGTTTTTAGTTTTCTACATTCGCCGTAGAATCTAGCTGTTTTTTTTACTTTTTCTTTTAATTACCATTTGATTTTCACTTGTTAAAAAAAATCTCAATTTGTACACATTCTTTATGATTATCTATTGTTGTCTTTGTTGTCCACTGTTGTCATCATTCTTTGTTAAAATCAGGTCCGTCTTGTAAATGAGTCCCAGAAGCTCAATGGGATTAACCTGTAGAAGCACTTTGGTAACAGTTTCTGTTTTAAATGCGCTCTATAAATAAATCTGACTTAACTTGACTAGAAATAAACGTTGAATGAAAAAAAAAGTTTACTTACAAAAACAGCAGAAGTTGCTGAAAATAGGTCAAGACCGGCAGTGCCCTTGGAAGAGCTGTTTAGGATTTAAAAAAAGTCTGAACAGTTTTGATTTATGGTATGCATTAATGCTCAGATTTGTTGAGTAACGTTTGCAGAGACAAGTGCTTTATTTCTATTTAATGCCCACATTTCAGAATTTCATATCGGTATATTCAGAAAACTACTGAGTAAATTACTTTAAACTGCACCATTTAATTTAGTCCAGGATAACCTTTTTAATCTAATTTCATAGTTTGCATTGAGTCCTTTAATATGACATGCTAATGTAACTTAATCACATTCAACCATGAAGCAACTAAATCAAACATCTTTTTTTAGTTATTTGGTTTAAATTTAAACAAATACTGTAAAAAAAAAAAAAAAAAAGATGGAGTGAATAACAGAACATAATTAGTTTAAAGGGACTGCCTGATTTATGCAATAAATATTGTTATTACAATATCAGTGTGCACAATTTAATTTATTGCAAAGAATTGCAGTTAGTTATAAGCACAAACTTCTACTGTGGTCATCAAGTGTTTGGACCAGTACGGCTCTAGAACTCACATGTGATGGTCAAAATACTGGAGCACACGGAGCGATGTGAGCAGCGTCAACGCCAGAAACAGACACTAACCTGGACTTTTGATTAAACACTCGTTGGCCCAACTGGGTCACGTTGCTTTAAATGTTTTCTGCCTCGTCTGGTGTCCCTTTGTCATTTTAATCAAATTCCCCCTGAGGGACAATAATGGTCTTATCACAGTGACCCGGTAACAATATCGTCCCAATATTCAACAATATTTATGCGTGTTTTCTAATGTTGTGCATCTCTGGAGCTTTACGTTATTTAAATGCTGGACTGCCTAAATAAATAATTAGTAATAAAACAATAAAATCAGGTAGAATAAAATTATCTGAAAAAAATTATGCTAAAAGTAGTTTCATCTGTTTTATTTAGAAAGTTGTGTCTGCTGTTAAAAAGGTAACGTTGTCTGTTTTGGAAATAAGATTATTCCGTGTATGAGTTTTTGATGCTTAAATTTGTTTCAGGTGTGGGCACAGCAGCTCATAATCCACCTCATGTAAACCTTTTAATGTCTGGCTCATAAATAAACCATTTCAGCATCATAGTTCTTGGCAGTAAATAACAGTTTGACTTTAAGCCTGAGCATTACTAGCTTTGAGCTTTTAAATTCAGGTTTTCTTTGCAGCAGATACATTTCTAGCAAACATGCTCTGAACATATAAAATGATTCATATTTATTCTGCTCCTCTGTTGCTACAAGGAAAGTTTAAGATCGATGTCACTCACACTGAAGTCACGTCCACTGAGTGACAGTTTCTTTACTTTTTGGACTTTGTTTGGCACAGAGTGATTTTCTGAAACTTGCTTAAAATTTGAATAATTTCTGCAAGATGTTGCATGCAGCCAACCACCTTCAAGATTTATATAATTTAAAGTTGTTAGATTAGATGTATACTTTATTGTCCCCGAGGGGAAATGCTAACAAAGCTTCTTCCACAATTAAATACACTAAAACCAATAAAATCATGTGAACCCCATAATAAAATACAAAAATATGTGGTAAAATCAATCTGTTTGGGATAGTTACCGTAGTTATGAATTAGAAGATGAACATAAAACAGGCTTTTAACATCTCATTTGACACAGTTTGCACAATTTTTCTCATTTCAAAGTTCCGTATTTTTTGGCCTATAAGTTGCAGTTTTTTTGCATAATTTGCATGCCCTACGACTTGTACACCGGAGCGACGCATTTCTTTTTTTCCCATATTTATAAATAGTTTATTATTTGTAAATAGTATATAAATATATATATTTATAAACCAACTTTTGGCTGAGATATCACCGTTTTCATTCATTCGGACTGAAAATATTAAACACTACCATTTTCAGCCACTAGATGGCAATCAAGTAGTATGACATGCTGTTGTGTCATGTAATAGGTAAAAGTGGCTATTAATGACACAATCAGCTTGCCATAACCTGCCACCTGGAGCAATCATCAAATCAGCTTCATTTCGCTGCACTGCTCCGGTGAATTGCAGCTGATTTGACCATTAAAGTGCATTTATTAAGTAAAAGTTAGACTGAGACACATCTTTACTATAATGTCAAGCAAAAAAATAATTGTTTTTTTGTGTTAATCTTATTAAATTCTTATTAAACTTCTCCCGTGCACGCTCCCATGGCCGCCATTTGGCAGCCAGTCGATTTTTGGCACAACACCGGCCCACATTTCTGAGCTGTCAGCGGTGACGCACAATAGATGCAACATATACGGCAAAGCGATATATTTATATTTTCATGTGATGTGCACGGCAGAAAATACTGTAACCACTTTAACACACTGACAAACAAGTCATGATGTGACATTAGAAATCATTTTTGGATCTCTTGTTTGGTCTATTTGGTTTCCAAACCAAAGAAAACTTTTTTTTTTACAAACTAGTTCTTGAAATATTGTCAGGCAAAAGTAAAATGTAGCTCTTAAAGTTAAAGCTGTTATTGAGTGCATACTAAATGCATTAAAAGGTGACTACTTGTCCCTTTCTTATGCATTTCTGAAAAGCTCTTCGTAAAAGCAGTCTCTCGCGGTGTGTGTGTGTGAACTTCCTGTTGACTGTGGCTTAATGCTCTTTTCTCTGCATCCCCTCTGTCTGCATGTATTTCAGGCCCGGGGTCGTATCCTTGCCCCCTCCTCATGTGCCACTCTCACAGACAGGAGCCCTTGGAGCTTTTCTGTGAGTCATGTGACCTTCTGTGCTGCAGCAGCTGTCACCTGTCCTCCCACAAAAACCACAGGTCAGTCCTCAGCTCACAAGGACACTGCAGAGAAAGAGGCTGCGCGCAGGTTAAACACTGCCGTGTCACGTTTATCTTGTGCATCTGCATACACTGCCCTTGGCCGCGTCTAGTTTTCATTAAGTATTCATACCTGTTTGTTTTCTGTGATGTTACAGCGCAGTTGTGATCTCGAAGGTCACCTGCATAATGTCTTTTCCTCCGGGGAGACGTGGTCAATTCTGCTGTTTTTTGTTGTTTTAATGCCCAAAGAATAAACTAGTGAAGTTCGATGGTGTGTGTTTAGGGTGGTGCAGATTGGGAAGGCCCTCCAGGATCAGCAGTGGCTGTTTGAGAACCTGATGGTGCAAGTGGAGGAGAGGAGGTCTTCAGTAGAAAACAGTGCAAAGCAAGTAGAAGACAGGTTGGTTTGAACTCAACGGTTTTAATCCAAACTGCAGGCGGGCTTTGCACGAATGGTGAATAATCAAACAGCACGTGTGTCAGCATGTTAATGAGTCTGGGTTGATGCTTTATTTTAATAATTTTGAAACCTTTCCCCCTCTCCCTGTCTGTGCAGGCTGCATGGAGTGAAGATTGCACACAGGAAGGCAGAGAACCAGATTAAAATGGCAAAGATGATTATGATGAACGAGCTTAACAAACGGGCCAACCTATTAATAGAGCAACTGGAGGTAATTACTTTCTCTTTCTTCCCTTCTTATCGCTCAGCCAGCCGTGAGCGTTCATGAAGAGAATCTATAACAGCAGCGATTTAATCTGCGCCGAAACCAAGCAAACAAGAGCCGGTAATCGTCTGAGAACGCCGCTGGAACCGACATCTCAGGAGCTACACCTGTCCAAATAAAACGGATCTGCTGACTGCGCTGCCTCTGCAAGTAAACACCTCACGAGTTCACCTGCGTGTTTCTGGATGTTTCCTGCAGAAGGTGTCAGAGGACTTTCAGCAGCGTCTGGAGGACCAGCTGCAAGGGGCGATAGAGATCTGTGGCCAGCTGGACCACCTTCAGAAGTTCATCACCTGGGCCACGACCCATCACTGCAGAGGCCCGGTTCTCTTCAGCAGGGCTCTGGTGAGACGGTCAACAGACGTCCACTGTCCCACAGTAACACACAGGGGGACTAGAATAATGTCTTTTTATCTGTATAACAGTGTAGCTCCGTGCCAAGTTTGAAGCAGATATTTGAATATTCGTGTAAAGGTCATTTTGCCAGTCACAAAGATTTCTCTTGGTCTTGTGAAAGCAATTGTCCTCGACGTGCACGAAGAGCCTGTGTTACAGTCAGCCTCAGAAAACTGCTGATGCAGCATCAGTGGCTTCACTTTAGCTTGGCTCAGAAACTGCAGAGAGCCTGTGTCACTGGGAGCAACTAGCTCGGAACATGGGAGCGTTTAAAACTGGATGCTTCAGAGAAGGTGGAGGATGCAGCACTTATCAGTCAGGTCCTCTGGACGAGTTCTTTGTGTTGAAACGCTTCGGCTTTCATCCAGAAGACTTCATCAGTCTGAGGAGCCGCAACAAACTCGGTCTTATAAATAGCACCTTCTCATAGGGTCTCAACCAGTTTGATGGTGCTCAGATGGTTTCTGGAGCCCGCCCTCTCCCCCGCTGACTCGTTTGAGGCAGTCGGAGTGGTTCAAAACATCCTGATTCGTGCTCAGTAATCCCAGTAGAAATAATCTTTTCAAAAGTACTTAGTCAGCATATTAATGCCTCTTACATTAGTTTTGGTTGTGGTTTAAAGAACGTGTCTCGTTAGAAAACTGGAACTTGAAATATTAGGATTTATTCCAACATATGGCTTCACAAGTTCTCTTTTTTTGTTCTTTTTGCTGTTTTAGTTTTAAACCTTATAAAACTTTGACTATTCTAAGACATACATGCTTTTGGTTAAAAATGTATTCATGTAGTGATTCACGTGCACATTTGTCTCGTTTGAAATGTTTCTTTGAAGTTCATTAAAACAGTGAAGCTGTTCGTGTTTAAGTTCTCTGACCTTCTCTTGCAGATTTCTCTGCAGATGCAGCAGCTGCTTGAAGCGTCGCTCCACACGGACTCCTGGAGTCCCGTCAGAATCAAATTTAACTGGGATGCAAGTTACTGGACGAAGCAGATTTCATCCTTAGGTAACGTTTTATGCCGCCAAAACAAGTGAACTGATTATTTACATGAACATGAACAAAACCTTTGATAACGAACATCTGCATCAGGAGAGAAAAATGCATTTTTTAATGTAAATGCTGAGTCCTGAATGAATGAATGCTGAAATTTGTTGAGGAAACTAAACTGGAGTTTTTAAAGTTAAAACGAGCAGAACAGGAGCTGAAAACAGAAGAACAGTAATTAGAAGCTTAAAGCATTAAAACAGTAGCTAAAATTAGCTAAACCGATACTAAAATAGTAAATACTAAAGCTAAATTTAGCAAAACTATTCAAGCTAAAATGAATTAAACAGTAGCCAAGATTATAGTAAAATAGGTGGTAAAATTAGTGAAACTAGCAAAAAGTAGCAAAACAAATTCAAATACTAATATCAGCAAAACAATGCTTAAGATAGCAAAACTTTAGCTAAAAGCTAAAATGAGCAGAATGATAGTTAAAAGCTAAATGGTAGCTTTACGTTTAAAGTAGCAAAACAGTAGCTTTAGGCTAAAGTTAAAACTTCCAATACAGCACCTAAATGCTACAAGTAGCAGAACAGTAGCTAAAGTGGCAGAATGGTAGCTAAAAGTATCATGCTGAAACAAAAATAGAGCAAGTGTCCCAAAGCAGATTTCAAAGAGAACAAACTGAAACTTTCACCTTCTTTCTAAAGAGAACTTTATTTCAATTAAAGTATTTGGAAAATTGTTTCGGTTACAAAACCACAAGTTAAAGAACATTATTCCTGACTTGGCTGAACCTTTTCACTGATGAATGGGTAAAACAGCACAACGTTTGTGGAAGTAGACTGATTGTAAAAAATGTATGAAAGTACCAGTAACTACAGGAAAGCAGTGGTGTGAATGCTGATTCAGCATATAAACCTAAAAATAAACTATCACGTGCATAAATTCTCCAGTTGTATTTCATCATGACTGACAGTACCCGTCTTTGTGACCTTTGCAGGCCAGCTGACTGTTGAAGGGGGGAGCTGTGCTTATCCTTCTGGGTTGGCCTGCTCTAGTCTCATGAGGCCGCAGCCCGTCTCCTGCTTGCCTCTGCCCAGCATGTTTCACAGAGGCAGAGATCCAGGCTGTGGGTACCAGGCCTGCTGCGAGCCTCAGATGTGCTGCCTGCATGGCGTCCCCCCTCAGTCAGATCTGTCGAGTCTGGACAAAAGCCAGATCGAAACAAACCTTTTTAACCAGAGCCAGCAGCTCCAGAGGTTTTGGGACACAGAGAGCTCCTTACAGTGTCCTCCTCCTCCTGCGTCTCCTCTCCCAGGACCCATTCAAGTCAACTGCAGCCCAGGATCTGCATCCCAAACACAAATTGCTGACACCCTATCCCACTCACAGTCCAAACCATATCCATCTTGCCACCAACCCTGGAAAGAAGTTGCTCCAGACAGTCCCTTCGGTGCAGAGCGCAGCAGGTTGGGTCAGTGTAAGGGGAAGCTGTTGATCGTCCCGAATCTGCAGCAGGAAGTCGGCCTCAAAGGCACGGACAGAGATGTGATGACTGAGGAGAGGAGCAGGGAGGAGGAGGAGGAGACGCGTGGACAGTCAGCAGAGGCTGGAAGCAGAGATCTCCTTGATGAGGAGCTGGAGGCAGACAGGAGGGAGCAGAGTCCGGTCCAGCAGCAGCAGCAGCTTCAGTTTTCTGCAGCAGCAGAGCAGAAGTCCAGACCTGCACTGATGCTCAGAGACCACAAGGATGGGAAGGTGAGAGAGAACCTTCACGACAACCGTGCAAAAACAAAGACGGGTGCAAAAAATTATAGTGTTGATGCGTTTTTGTTTAAGAAAGAAAAACTCACAATGATCCCTGAAATAACTTGTTGAGTTTATTCTTAACTCATAATCACATTCACTTCATGGTTTTCACAACCACTTCTCTGCAGGTTTGTATGTTTCTGTTGGCTGTGAAGAAGCAGGGGTCAGCTCAGTTCATGCCTGTTCATGAGAATTATGTGCACACGTTTCACTTCATGCTGTGAAACTGAATTTTTACAGCAGCCTCCGCAGGAACGCGCTTGTTGTAACCTACAAATGAAGACGTTTGAAAAATCTAAATATAACGCAGCTTCTATAAGCAGCTGTTCAGACACTTCATTCGTTCGATGGTTCTAAAATTCTGGTGGCTTCATGAAGCACGAGGCGAAGCAGCAGAGTTGTAAACATCGTTTTAATTTGCAGCGTTATCGAAGTAAAGACTCAGGTGGGAATTTAGGCGCTTCAGTCGTTTAATGTTTTTTTGTGGTTTGAGCCAAGTGTCTAAAAGCTCGAACAACTTCTTTTTTTTTCACGATGTGGTGAACCACAAACTGTTTCTACAGACCTATCAAAAGCCGCCACGGATCAGTCAAACCCATTTCCGCTGAATGTTCAAACACAGAGCAACAGAGACTAACAAAGGGCCGGATGAAAACAAAACTGACGCAGTGACAATCTTTTAAATATCCAAACTTAAAAAATAAAAATAAAAAGTTTCTCATATAGGAAGAGGTGGTGCCGAGTTTGAGGCGGCTTTTAGTTTCAGTTGATACTCGTTAATGACTGAAACTGTATTTAAAGCCATGCTGTCACTTCTAAAACTTCACAGATCGCCTTAAAAAAACCAGATGGTGCAACATTAAACCTTCTGCTTTCACGAAGAAACGACGACGGGAAAACAAAGATCTGCTCTGACAATTAAAGCCACAGCGACGAGACGCTCTTCATCAGTTTCACACTTGATGCCAGCAGTTTGAACTGCTGCATAATCGCCTCTCGAAGAGATGATTACAAGCACAAAGACGTGTTATTTTTACATTATTTGAGTCACTGCATTAAAAAATGATATATTAAACCACCCGGGAATGCTCATTTATGTACTTAACCTCTCAATAATGAGTCACTGAGGGAATAGCAGGAGCTGCCAGTTTGACTTTAGCCTCGGTTTACAGCGAGATAAGTTCTTGCTCCCCACCATCTTCCAGGGAGAAGGATTAGAGTCTATTCTCCTCCACAGTCTAAACCTAGCAGTCCTGTCCCAGGGGGCTGAGATCAGGTAAGTGTTTTAATCACATGATACTCAGGATAATGAGCTCAGTTTAAATCTGGCCTGAATATGTATGATGCTGTGCTAGAATATAACGGGATGTAAAAAAAAGCTGGTGCGAAACGATTTATCTGCCGTCCTCCCTGCATTAGCTGCAGGAACAGCTGAGGCGTTTGATGAAAATCTGTGCATTAGTTAAACTGTAACAAACAAGACGAGTGTGGTTTAATCAAAAACACCTGACACTGAGTTTGCATTTGATGGTGTTTTAACCCATCCTTTCATTTCTTGTACAACAACTCTAATATATGCAGCGTGTTTGTGATGACTGCGTTGTTTGATTTTTTACTGAATAGGTTCTGAGTGATGTTCACTCGTTCACACATCCCACTCTCCTTTCACTTGTTGATGACACGAACAGGTGCGCTTGTGGTTTTGATTCAACCTGGAAACCTTTTTATTCCTGCGTGTTGAATTATTCTGACAGAGATCCACGTCCCTGGAGGTGTCGGCAACGGCGCACGAATGTGTATCTGACATGCAGAGCTGCAGGATTAGCCCTGATTCTGAGTGCACGAGGAGGAAGGGACGCTCCAGGAGCATCCCAACAGAGCTGACAGCTCCTTCGTCCAGCCCCTACTCTGAAAGGCCTGCAGGAGGCACTGACAGCCGGGCAGCAAGAGCTGCAAAGAAGGTGGAACATCCAAAAGTACTCACACACTCAGGAGCAGAGGCTGTGCTGATGCTGTGCACTGGTTATCAATAATGCATAAACTAGATCAAAGGATTTCAATACAAACTGTTGGCATGCAGATATCAAAAGTAAAAAAAAAAACAACCTCACATCTGTTTTGTAGCTGTTCTGAAGCTTTTAGTTTCATCGTATCGGCACGCTCAAGTGTTCTGGAATCACATTTATTTATTTATATATATTAAAAAAGACAGTGTGCCAGCCCACCGTGTGCAGAAGCTCCTGATCAGCGTGCAGCCCGGTCCAACCGTCAAAACTCACTCATGAATACAGTGTTGATGGGTAGAGATTTAACAAGACGACCAAGATTACAATTTTGAAAACTTTGCACATAAAAATAGGCAACAATAAAAAATAAATAAAAAAGACCAAGCAAAATGTTGGTGCACTGCTCAGCTTGCCTTATTGCAAATATTCTTTTTGTAAGACCAGCTCAAATTTTTGACTTAAAAAAAAAAAAATTAACAAATCGAAACAAAATAGCAACCAAAAGGACAATCAAGAGGAATAGCAGCAAAAAACAGTTGGATCACGAGAAGATTTAGAAAATTTAAAACAGGGACATGTCTGCATTGGCTGTTGCCAAAATTATGACATAATGATATAGATATATAATAATAATAATTATATAACAATAATCTATCTATCTATCTATCTATCTATCTATCTATCTATCTATCTATCTATCTATCTATCTATCTATCTATCTATCTATCTATCTATCTATCTATCTATCTATCTATCTATCTATCTATCTATCTATCTATCTATCTATCTATCTATCTATCTATCTATCTATCTATCTATCTA